GACTATTGTTTTGTACACTGTTCATAATGGATTTATAAGCGGGTAAGATTTCAAAACATTAATCTCAATTCAATATTTCATATCCCCGTATTTATATATTATTATAGGTAAACAAAAAAAAATCTGTGTAATAAGTTAACTATGAATATACAATACATTATCCCTTAAATGTCAACCTTATAGTTTGAACGTTCGTTCGTCTTGGCTCAAAGCCACTTGCTGAGAACTTTTCTTCGCGGAAGCTTTGCGTTAATTACAAGTGAGATAAGAAAATATTTAATCTGCAATAAATATTTTTTGTCCAATTATTTGCCCAGTTAGTTTTAGTATTGAGGTAAAAGTTACCTTGCATTCGCTATATAACAGTGACGAAGATATAGAAGAACAGTGACGCTATATAACGGTCACGAAGATGACTGAGCAAATTTGACACGTTTCCCCCTTTTGCAGCTACTTTCTTCTTGCAAGATCGGCAGACAGGGTGACCGTCCTCAATTATTGCTTTCAGGACTCTTGTAAAAGCCAAAATACGACCAGACCACCGATTTGGTCCTCTTAGATGGCTGAAAAATGCGCAGAGTGCTGTCAACTGCCTTCCGCCATTTCGTCTCGTGCAAAAAAAAACAACAACAACACTGCATGCTGCTTCTGCGTCAAACTAATGCTGGCTGGACAGGATTACCGCGAGTTTTCAAAATCGCAATAATTAAACACGGTTTTGATGATAATTAAATTTTAAACGATAATACTAACCGTCAGGGCATTTTATCATGATTTATCGTAAACCGGTAATCGTTACATCCCTACAACGCAGTTTGTGTATGTCCAGAATAGAGATCGGCTGCAATAAAACAATAAACGGTCGGTTGCCGATCGCGTAAGTTCCAGAGGAAGCTCCTTCGGCCATCCTACACACACGTGACTGACCGCTCGCTCGCCCCAACAGGAGGGTCGTGTTACTCTCTACACTGCACTCAACCTGAGGGATTCCTGCACTTTCAGTCTTTGAGGAGACATGAAAAACAGTGCATACCGCAGGAACGGTATAACGGAAAATATTAGCGGTTTTGAAAAATCACGGTATACCTTGAAACCGGTAATCGGCCCATGCCCAATTCAAACAATAAATGCCGTTTTGGTGCGATTTAATGTGGAGTAGCACCTCAATCAACAGACGCAGCAGCGCGAGGCGCACGTGAACTGATCATCTCCTCCACATTAATACCAGTTTCAGCACAAAATAAACATGACTAAACATCCGAAGGTAAGTTAAAAGAATGAGTATAACTGTACAATCCATATCCTGTCTCATGTAATCACTCAATCAGTGTTTCAGCTACGCAAAGACGTCAATATAACGGCTTGTAAACAATGTCACGTAACGTCACATTTACCTCAGAAAAACATATTCGGTGACCATAAACTCATTAGTCAGACAGAAAAATAAACTGTAGAGAGGGGCATTTTGCTAAATATATGCACCATATAACATATTCATTATAAATTTTACTGTTCTTCAATGTTTAATTTATGTTTGAATAAATCCATCAAGTTTTTATGACAGCCACCATTATGTTAATTTATTTTTTTTTTTTACTAATTGTAGTAGAAATATTATGTAATTGTAACTATCATTTAAAAAACTTCATTAAGTGTAATTTTAACAAATCAGTTAATTTTACGCTTCAATATTATAGTAATGTAGTACCAACTGACTCATGTATATTTTACAGTATTAGTTGAGAGATTTTTTTTCCTTGAGATAATTTGGCATGTAGCCTACTGTACCTGACATCCAAAATAATCGATATTGAATCGAATCGAATCGAATCGAAAGCTTGTGAATGAGAATCGAATCGTGAAATTTGTGTCCAAAGTAAACCCAGCCCTAATGGTAATGTTCTGGAGCAGGATGTGCACAATCAAGATAAAACAGTACTTTTCACTTCCCAAAGAAAGATACAATGGCTGTGTTTTAAAAACATAGTCTAGTGCCTAAGATGCCCAAAATTGCAGCTGACTTGGAACAAACATATAGTCAAATTTGCATCAAGGATGTTTTTGCGTAAAGGGTTTAGTGCATCAAAATGGTTATCAATATAGCAGTTAGATTAAGGATGACGTCATTATGCACATCAGGCTGAAGAAAGCTAAATCTGCTAACTTTTTTAATGCATTTTCACTTTTCTGAACAGAACAGTGGAAATACTGGATGAAAACATAGCTCATGCTGACTCTGAAGTGCTAGTTACACCCAAAAATGCTGCTGACTTGGAAGGAGCCCATGACACCCAAAATGCAGCTGACCCTGAACACTCTCATTCGGCCCCTCATTGCCCAAAAATGTTGCAGATTCACAACATGCCTATGACACCCAAAATGTAGCTCACCCAAATGTGCCATTCTGACACCAAACAGCCCTGTTTAGCCGAACAAAACCTTGCTGATCCCAAACACCCTTTATTGCCCATAAATGCTGTGGATTCGAACTGTGCCTTTGACACCCAAAAAGCCACTGCCACCAAACACCCATATTTAGCCCAAAAAATGCTCCTGATCCTAAAAACCCCTTTACTAGCCAAAAACTTGCTGACCCCAAATGCCGCTGGACCCCAAAAAAGCCTTTTATCATTATGCACTAAAATGGCCAAACCCGTTTATTGCTCAAAAACGTTGAAGATAGATCAAAACATGCCTATGACACGCAAAATGTAGCTGACCTCAAACACCCTATTATTCTGTCCAAAAATGCTGCTGACACCAAACACATCAATTTAGCCCCAAAATGCTGCTGATGCCAAACACCATTTACTGCCCAAAAACGCTGTTGATCAAAATGTGCCTGTGACACCCAAAATGCAGCGGACTCCAAAAAACGTTGCTCATTCGAAACATGTCTATAACACCCAAAAAGTAGCTGACACAAACACCCCTTCTGTCCCAAAATGCTGCCAGCACCAGACATGAACACTTCACAGTCACAGGCACATTGGACATGTGCCTGTACCCAAATTCTGCTCCAAAAAGCTGCTGACAACAAATATCCCTATTTACCCCCAAAAAATACTGCTCACTGTAATTCTATTCTCACTCTATTCTTCCTAAAGTTGCTACTGGAATCAAACACCCATATTTAGCTGAAAAAAGCTTCTCACCCTAAATGCCAAACACCATTTGGCTGTCTGGTGCAGTCTTAACAACCTGGAGCTTAACACGCTCAAAACTGTGGAGATGATCGTTTTAATTAAAATTAAATCCTATACTTCTACTTCTGTATATAGTACATTATTAAATTTTACTTTTTTTTATTATATTAGTGTTATATTACATCCCTACTGTGTTATTCCTATGTATGTCTGCACTATGTTTGTACTTTCTTCTACACTGGAAGCTCCTGTCGTCAAGTCAAATTCCTTGTGTGTGTAAACATACTTGGTAATAAAGCTCTTCTGATTCTGATTCTGATTCTGAAGAACGCAACAGTAATATGCAAACTTGTGTGTGTAAGTATACTTGGTAATAAAGCTCTTCTGATTCTGATTCTGAAATGCCCCATTTTGCCCAAAAATGCTGCTGACCTCAAACACCCCTTTACTGCCCCAAATCGTTGCTGACTCGAATCGTGCCTAAGATGCAGCTGACCCAGAAGAGCTCCCCCGTTTGGCCCAAAATGGCTCTACTCTGAAAGATGATGTTACCCAAAAGAACTGCTGTCTAGGAAGACAGCTCACTAGCGTTTGAAACACGACCTATGTCTTCTTGCCCTGATTGGAACAGATTAGCAGTTTGCTAACTAGCAACAACAGTTGTTTAGTGGGCCGAAAAAGAAAAAAACAACAACTAGCCAGTCACAGTAACTTTTGTGGTACTTATTCACGCAGATATGACACACACGTCCACTTAGAAACCTCAAGTAACGCAAATTTGAGCCTGTAAACAGTGTGTTGTATCACAGCTGAACTCAGATTAGCCGGCTAACGTGCTAACTACTCACATTTGCGCAGCCACCTCATCCAGTATCGCACGACCAGGCTGTGATATTTCTTGTTCTCGATGCACCACACGGATAGTCCCTGAATGGATTCCATGGTGTTGGATACAGTCTGAAAGCGACGGTCCAAAGTGGACTCCAAGCGCGGCGACGAGCCACTATTGTGGCCGCTAACGCCTGCACTTCCAGCAGCCATTTTCCAGATCTTCCGGTCGCGGTGCTGCTGCCCCTTACAGGTTCATGTGTGGATACTGCAACATCATGGGACACTGATCCTCCATTATTCCCAACATTACAATAACAATTAGACATGTACATTTGAAGATCGTATTGTTCTTTTCCTCTTTCCTACTCATTCGCGGTCTCTGGTCTGAAATCACAATGACAAGGAGAATGTGTTATACAACACAAAATATACAGAAGTAGAAACTGGTGAAATCACTTTGAAACATGTATAAATATGAGTATTTCATATTGCTCAAATATGAAACATGCAAACATCCAGCAGGGGTCAGTCATGGACAGAGAGAACAAAAGAGAAAAGCAGACTTTCAAGTGTACCCGTCTACTGACGAAGTCATGTTAATCATATTTACAGATATCAAGATCACTTTCATTAATTTAATTAATTTAATAATACAAACAACCTATGTATTTCCCCTGGCTAATATATGATAAAGATTGTTTTGGACAATTTAAATAAACATGTAGGCATAAATAGAAAACTATTATTTTAAATTGTGTAATATTACACAATATTACTGTTTTTAATGTAATTGTTGAGCATATCTTTCAAAATCATTTGACAAATGTTACCGACCCTAAACTTATGAATGGTATAGTCTATATTTAAAATATTTCTATATAATATATGGCAATATATACACCATAATTCATGTCTAAAATTGAGAAATAGAAAAAGAGAGAGCGAGGACAAATTCAAAAATAAGAAACTTGGAAACATTTAATGATATCAAAAAGTAGAGCACGTTGAAAAACATTTCAGCAACAACTTTGATACAAGAACAGAAATTACTTAGAAGAGAAAAAGGTTTTGAATCATGAATAGAAAATAAGAGTGGTGCTACAATGGCGGACTTTTCTGAAACAAATAATAATAAAAACATCTTCCTCAATGCGTGAAGCTGTTAAGTGCCATTAAATATTAGTCTCACAATACACCTTCATGTTCATGTTTCCCTTACAGTATAATCTCCATTATAATTCCAACAATATACTTGCATGTATTTTTCACACGATACTTGTACAGCTGCACAAAGACGTGATTACATGCATCTCAGTCAACATAGCCAAAAAGTTCTTCTCATTCCTCATGAAGCGACTACCAAATACTGCATCTATAATGTCAGAATATATTCTACAAATAACTAAATAAAATACAAGTCTCATCTGCCTCAGTGTGACCTTTTACAGTGTGTGACATGCCACATATTCATCATTAACTTGAACATGTTAGTTTTAGAGAATGGTTAATAGTCACAATGCTCAGATTCACAAATTCTAAATGGGGAAAAAAAGGTGAGTTAAAGGAAACAATTGTGCAATTTCCTATAACAAAAATCGAGATCTCTAAAACAAAACTAACTATTATAGCATGGAAGCAGAACAACATAAATGTGCATTGTTTTTGGCAAGAACATTTTCAATAAATGAACGTTTACTCTCCAGATTATAGAATAACACCTCACACACATCCCATCTGTTGTTCCTGGGATTATTCTTTCGGTCTCTTAATAAATATGAAACACTGAGCTATGATAATGGCCACGGCCCACTTGTACTGACACTTTAAGGCTGCTTAAGTGAATTCAGTATCTTCAAGTAATAATGCAATAAATAAAACTGCCTTTAAAATATCCTCCCATATAATGCATTTCTGTTTCAGCCGATGCTCAAAGTGGTTTTCAATTCAAGTCAAAGAACATTAATGTAGATTGCTATCACAGTCATGCTTCTGGACGTTTCACCAAACTATTTTTCTGCTGATATCTGGCTTCCTGGTTTTATGTTCATAAAGCTGCAGATATTGTTGGAAGTCTGTGTTATCATGGAAAGTGGAGCAGTAGTGTTTGATAGCGGTGCATGTTGTTTCGCCGCTTGACTATACGGCTCTGGCATGTATTTTAAGACACTTCTTTCTTCAACCTATAATCGTATAAACACAAACCTTATGTCACACTGTACATATGATCATTTCTGTGCTGTACATATATGTGGCAGAATGCAAAATTAACTAAACTAAATAAACAAAACTTTGTGGAAAAACAATGAATTCTCGGTATCAACAGGCTGGAGAAATGGTTAAGTCAATCATTCTTTTAAACATGAGAAACTTCTAAATGTTATGCGTTTAACATCTCTGTGCAAATATTAATCTGTTTTTTTGGCCCTTCTCCTTTTACAGATTCACCCACATCTTTCTCACTCATCATCATCATCATCATCATCATGTCCTCTGGTGGGGCGGAAGTAGGATTAGTGGAGGACACAGAACAGTCCTGCATGCCCAAGCTGCTGCCATCTGTGGCTGACAATGGTATTACAAGTGGAGGAGGTCTTCCTGTTGCAGTCTTAGAGGTTTCGTTCAAGGAGTTTGTCTTTTGCCTGACTAGAAGTTTGCCGTTTTCGATGAGTTTAGGTTCAGATGTCACATTATTTTGATTTGTACAGATCATACTGTCTTTAAAAATTAACTAAACTAAATAAACAAAACTTTGTGGAAAAACAATGAATTCTCGGTATCAACAGGCTGGAGAAATGGTTAAGTCAATCATTCTTTTAAACATGAGAAACTTCTAAATGTTATGCGTTTAACATCTCTGTGCAAATATTAATCTGTTTTTTTGGCCCTTCTCCTTTTACAGATTCACCCACATCTTTCTCACTCATCATCATCATCATCATCATCATGTCCTCTGGTGGGGCGGAAGTAGGATTAGTGGAGGACACAGAACAGTCCTGCATGCCCAAGCTGCTGCCATCTGTGGCTGACAATGGTATTACAAGTGGAGGAGGTCTTCCTGTTGCAGTCTTAGAGGTTTCGTTCAAGGAGTTTGTCTTTTGCCTGACTAGAAGTTTGCCGTTTTCGATGAGTTTAGGTTCAGATGTCACATTATTTTGATTTGTACAGATCATACTGTCTTCAAGTTCACTAGATGTGGTATCGGAGCTGCTGAGCCATGAGCTGCTATCGCTGGGGCTCAGACCTCGATCGTCCTCTTGAACGCGTTTGCTGCTTGAAGAACCTTGCGAGTCAGAATCCGACCAACTTAATCTGCGTTTCTGAACCAAAAAAAAAAAAAAAGCAATTTAGGACATAAGTCTTTTATGTTCATGAAAGACAAACAATAAACCATTCGAGATTGTTGTAGACTGTAAAAGACACTCATTTGCACCCATTGACCAATATAATGGTCATAGGAAATGTTTAAAAACAAGAACTGGCAGACAAAAAAAAAAAAAAAAAAGACATTTCATGAGCTAAAGTGGATGGTGAGCTTATGTGGAAAAATCTACTTTTTGGACCAAGAAGAAACTTTGGTTTGTTTATTTCAAAGTGTTATTTGTGGACAAGTATCCACCATATTTTTACCGTTAGAGCGGTTGCAGACATTTGTAACTTCTATCTTCTGGTGTCATTCGCGTCCAGCTATTTTAACTGTACAAAATTGGCTTTTTATGCTGCTTGATATTGCAAACTGGTATTTGTTATTGTTATTTTATTTCCATAAACAAAACACATTGGTTTGTAGAGTAAATAGTTTTACTGATTACTGCACTTTGTTATTCCTCTAGTTATACCTATAATGGCTGATGAATCTGAAGTCTCGCACATTCACAGAACATATCTTACTTCCACATTGCAGAATGAGGTGGATATCAGCCGCTTACCTTCACAGGAATATGTAACTGGTCCTGATTCCAGCGTGGAGGCAGGCTAGCCATAAGACTGTGGAGTGAAGGGGTGTCATCGCAATGCTGAGGCCTCACCTGAGGGAACCAAGCCTTTAACATCATCTCCAGCTGCAGAAGAGTACCCATATACTTCTCCCTATGGAGGAATAGCAGAAAAATAGGATTTATTAAATGGCATTATATGTATTGGACACAAAACTGAGAAATGTATCAATGGTGAAAGTTTAATAGAATAAAATGAAATACCCAAGGTTGGGTTTTTGTAGAACACCAACAATCCTTCGCAGTCGATCCATGGCAACACTCTGTTGAAATGTGCTCAAACCTGCCGAAAAGAAACAAATTAAGAATAATTAAAAAAATAAATAAATGAAAACACAATTATATGTTATGGGTGGAAGCTACTAACTACTAAGTTTGGGGTCGAAAATATATATTAATGACACTTTTGAACAATCCAGCACATTCTTGCCGAATAAAAATCTTACAGATCCTACTTTTGAAAGGTAGTGTATATGACATTTTTTTGTGCATTACCTTTATCATATCGACCGGTTTTCAGCCCCTTCAACAGCTCCAACAGGGGTCTGATGTACCCATGCATCTCTGCACACTGTAAGAGAAATTTATTAATACATTTATCGTCATAGAAACATTTAAAAATACAGAGGCATGACAGATTTATAAACTACATAACTCAGAGGCTTGAGCAATTTTAAAAGAAACAAACTTTCCCTTATTGTTTGAAATAAAACCTAAATAAAAACAAAACCTAATAAAAACGGACTAACTTTATAAGCAGAGACAAATTCTCTCAGCATAAAAATTAAATAATGAGTATATGATGACTTCTTAATTGTTTGTGTTGGTATGACTTTTGTGTTAAAATAAATAAAAAAAAACAAGACATTTTAAACAGGGTGAAGAGATTTTCAAACTCACTTTGCGTGCAAACCGCCGGTCCCCCTCTGTGGGAATCCTTTCAACTGATGTTGAGGTCTGACCAGTGTAGGCTGGAGATGCCACAACGCCTAAAAAGACAGTATAAGTCATTATAATCCATAACTATGTCCCCAC